TGCAATGTGATGCTGCAGCTAACGAAGTGACCAAAACGCTGGCTTGCATCCATAGATGTTTCTCAAGTAAATCCCGGGATGGCATTCTCCCGTTGTACTCGGCCTTGGTGAGGCCACAGCTGGAGTACTGTGTCCAGTTTTGGGCTCCACAATTCAAAAAGAATGTGGAGAAGCTTCAGAGAGTCCAGAGAAGAGCCATGTGCATGATCAGAGGTCAGGGAAGCAGAACTTATGATGAGAGGCTGAGAGCCATGGGACTCTTCAGCCTGGAAAAGCGTAGGCTCGGGGTGATCTGGTGGCCACCTCTAAGTTTATCAGGGGTGCTCACCAGGATCTGGGGGAATGTCTGTTCACCAGAGCACCCCAAGGGATGACAAGATCGAATGGTCACAAACTCTGCCACGACTGATTCAGGCTGGACATAAGGAAGAAATTCTTCACTGTCCGAGCCCCCAAGGTTTGGAAGGCAGTTCAAGCACCTACTTTGAACACCTTCAAGACACACTTGGATGCTTATCTTGCTGGGATCCTATGATCCCTGCTGACTTCCTGCCCGTGGGGCAGGGGGCTGGACTCGATGATCCTCCGGGGTCCCTTCCAGCCCAAATGTCTATGAAATCTATGAAGTACAGGAAATAATTATTTTGGTGTTTTGTCCCAGTCTACCCTACCAATCCATTGCCAAAGATTGCCAAAACCAGTTTCTCTCCTCCCTGATCCTCTAGAGTATCAGCATAGATGCATAGATCATAGAGTCGGAAGGGACCACAATGGATCATCATGTCTGACCCCCTGACCCTGGCAGGAAGGAGGCCCGAGGTCAGATGACCCCAGCCAGGTGACTATCTAGCCTCCTCTTGAAGACCTCCAAGCTAGGTGATAGCACCACCTCTTTTGCAAGCCCATTCCAGATCCTGGTCATCCTTACTGTGAAAAATTTCTTCCTAATATCTAAACTAAATCCACTCTCAACTAGTTTACACCCATTATTCCTAGTCACTCCCTGGGACGCCTTAGTAAATAGCACTTGCCCTATTCTCGTTGACCTCCCCTAATAAATTTATAGGTTACCCTCCCCAAATAAATTTATAGGTGGCCACAAGATCCCCCCTCAGCCGTCTCTTGTGAAGGCTGAAGAGATTCAGCTCTCTCAACCTCCCCCCGTAGGGTCTATAATGAAGGCCACTAATCATGCGAGTGGCCCTCCTCTGGATCTTCTCCAGATTCCCCGCATCCCTCTTGAAGTGTGGCGCCCAAAACTGGACACAGTACTCCAACTGCGGCCTGACCAGTGCCACATAGAGGGGGAGCATCACATCCTTTGATCTATTAGTCATGCACCTGCTAATGTACAACAAGGTGCGATTGGCCTTGTTGATGGCCTTGTTACACTGCCGGCTCATGTTCATCTTGGAGTCAATTATGACTCCAAGATCCCTCTCTGCCTCTGAGCTGCTGAAAAGGACACTCCCCAACCTATAGGTGTGCCAGGGGTTCCTCCTTCCCAGGTGGAGTACCTTACATTTATCTTTATTAAATTGCATCCTATTTCTCTCTGCCCATTGATCCAACCTGTCCAGGTCAGCCTGAATCTGCTCCCTGCCCTCTGGTGTACTAACTTTGCCCCATAACTTGGTATCATCAGCGAACTTGGAGAGGGTGCTCTCCATGCCCTCATCCAAATCGCTGATGAACATATTAAATAATATAGGTCCGAGGACCGAACCCTGCGGGACCCCACTGCCCACCTCCCTCCAGGCCGAGAAGGAACCATCCACCACCACTCTCTGGGTGCGGTCCCTTAGCCAATTTGTGACCCATCTGACTGTGCAGGCATCAATGCCACAGTCACCTAGTTTTTTAATGAAAATGGGGTGGGAGACAGTGTCAAAGGTCTTCCTAAAGTCCAGAAAGGCTACATCCACCACAACACCTACATCCAATGATTTTGTGACCTGATCATAGAAGGCAATCAGGTTGGTCTGCCAGGACCTGCCCCTAATGAACCCATGCTGGTTGCCCCTAAGCATCGTCTCCCCCTGCTGGTCCTTCCCAGATGTGCTTCTGGATAATCTTCTCAAAGAGCTTCCCCAGGATCGAAGTAAGACTAACAGGCTTATAGTTGCCCGGGTCCTCCCCCTCCCTTTTTTGAAAATGGGGACTACATTGGCTTTCCTTCAATCATCTGGAACTTGGCCAGAGCACCATGAGTGCTTGTAAAGCCGTGCAAGGGGGCCCTCAATAGCCCCTGCCAATTCCCTCAGCACCCTGGAGTGGAGAGCATCTGGACCTGCTGATCTGAACACATCCAGCCCCTCCAGAAGTTCCCTAACTCAGTCCTCCCTGACCCTAAGCCTGGCAGAGTCTTTCCTGAGTCCATCCTGAATCTCAGTTGGGGAAGAAGGACTTTTTATTGTCCTTGATTGTTGAAGCCAGCCTGAGCTTAAGCCCCGCCTTGGCCTGTCTAGCTGATTCCCTGCAATAGCGCACCAGGGAGATATATTCCTCCTTGGTGGCTGCTCCCTGCTTCCATTGCCTATGCATCTCTTTCTTTGCCCCCAGACTCACCTGGAGTTCCCTGTTCAGCCAAGGGGGCTTTTTTGCCCCCTTACCTCCCTTCCTACGTAATGGGATAAACTCCTTTTGAGCCCCAAGGCTCACTCCCTTGAGATACCTCCAACCCTCATGGACTCCCATTTGCTCTATGTTCTTGAGTTGCATCCCCTCACTAACTAGCCTTCTAAGCTTGCTAAAGCTGGCCCTGCTGAAGTCCAACACCTTAGCCCCACTAGTTACTTTACCCACCCTTCGCTGGATAATGAACTCGACCAAGTGATGGTCACTATCTCCCAGGCTACCATGAACTCGCATGTTCCCCACGAGATCATCCCCTGTTGCTAAGACCAGGTCAAGCAAGCCGCTATCCCTGGTGGGACTAGACACCATCTGGGTTAGGTGGAAGTCCTGCACACAGTGTAAGCATGCTCAGGAACAATTTGATAGAGCTATCCCTGAACATGCTGTATGGACATAACTACAGTTCTTGCTAAGCTGAAGATAAAAGATTACCCCTGGGGTAAAAGCATGGGGTAAGGAGACTTTTCCATTCCCATGTCTACCATGTAGTACATCTACACTGCAGTCACAGCAGTGACTCCTTTAAATCAGTTAACTCAGGTCCTGGTAGCAGTCCAGCTAGGGCAGCAAAAAGTTCATACAAACTAATTCACCCTGCTTGAAGGAAGATAATGCCACCCATGCTGTGCTCCCTGAGTGGGCCCATAAGCATTATTTAATAAGAACAATAAGGCTTTTGCAAGGCAAATGAGGGGAGAAGCAAGGCTCCTTGAATTATCCCTAGTTCTCATGTGCCGGTGCCAAGGCTGGGCATGCTCTGACTCTTTACCACATGCCATTACAGGCAACCCCCACTTAACGCAGTTTCACTTACCATGATTTTGTTATAGCGCTAATTTAAAATACCTACCTGGTTTCACTCAGCACTCAGCGCATTTCGTTATAACGCTCAGTGCGGGGTGGGGGAGAAGCAGTGGCAGTGGCGGTGGTGTCGAGGGAAGTGGTGAGTGGCAGCTGGCAGCAGCCCAGGGCAGAGTAGCAGGAGCCTGGGGTCCACTTCAGCACATTGTGCTGGAGCGGGATGGGAGGAGTGGTAGCAGCGAGAAGGGGTGGGTAGGGGGCCGGGAAGCATGAGCTCGGAGCCCAGGCAGGCGAGGCCCAGGGCAGGGTGGCAGAAGCACAGAATCCGCTCTGGCATGTGGTGCTGGAGCAGTCAGCGGGTGTGGAAGAGC